TTAAGGTGCCCCCATTTTTCCCATTTCTCCCTTAATAATACCCTTCTCCTATGATCCCCCCTCTTTTGTGCTCCTTCTTTCCTCTTTTCCCCTAGGTTCCTTGTATAACTTCCCCCCCCTTAAAATAACCCTGTTTTTAATCCCTATCTCCCTTATTAACACCCATTTCCTATTGTTTTTCTATTTCAGATTCTTTCTTTTCCTTTACCTTTCTGATTCCTCTTCATTATCCTGGTTCCTGTAGTTATGTATGGATACATATTCACTTATAGAGATTTGGTGCTAGGATCCACATATGAGGGAGAACATTCATCATTTTTCCCCCTGAGTCTGTGTTACTTCACTTAACATAACAGTTTCTAGTTCCATCCATTTACCTGCAAATTTCGTGATTTCATCTTTCTTTACTGCTGAGTAAAACTCCATCATATAAATGAACCACATTTTCATTATCTACTCATCAGTTGAGGGACACTTAAGTTGCTTCCATTTCTTAGCTATTGTGAAAAGAGCAGCAACAAACATGAATGTACAAGTGTCTCTGCAATAGGATGAGTTCTTTGGGTATATGCCAAGGAGTGGTATAACTGGGTCAAATGGTATGTTCATTTGTAGTTTTTTAAGAGTCCTCCATACTGCTTTTCATAGCAGTTGAACAAGCTTGCAGTCCCACCAGCAGTGGATGAACATTTCTCTTTCCCCACATCCTCTCCAACATTTGGTATCATTTGTTCTTTTGACCTTAGCCAGTCTGACTGGGATAAGATAAAATCTTAAAGTGATTTTAATTTGCATTTCCCTAGTTATTAGTGATGTTGAACGCCTTTTAAGGTGCTTCTTAGCCATCTTTATTTCTTCTTTCTGAACTCTTTGTTCAGTTCCTTAGCCCATCTTTTAATTGGGTTACTTCCTTTCTTGATACTTTGTTTTTTGAGTTCGTTATATATTTTGGATGTTAAACCTGTCAGAAGTGTCGCTGGTGAAGATTTTCTCCCATTCTGTGGATTTTTTTCTTCACTTCCTTGGTTTCTTCTTTTGATGTACAGAAACTTTTTAGTTTAATGAGGTCCCATTTGTTGATTCTTGACCTTGCTTTCTGGGCAGTTGATGTCCTGTTTAGAAAAATCCTTTCCTATACCTATATCTTGGAGGTTATTGCCAATGTTTTCTTCTAACAGTTTCAGAGTTTCAGACTCCACATTGAGGCATTTGATCCATTTGGAGTTGACTTGTGCAAGGTGAAAGATAAAGGCTTAGTTTCATTCTTCTACAGGTGGAGATTCAGTTTTACCAGCACCATTTGCTGAACAGCTGTCTTTCCTCCAGTGAATGTTCTTGGCCCCTTTGTCAAATATCAGGTGGCTAAAATTGAATGTACTCATATTTGGGTCTTCAATTTTGTCCCATTGATCTATGAGTCTATTTTTGTGCCAGTACCATGTTGTTTTTATGACTATAGCTTTGTAATACATCTTAAAATCTGGTATAGTAATTCCCCCGGCATTTCTCTAAGTGCTCAGGGTTGCTTTGGCTATCCAAGGTCTTTTGTGCTTCCATATGAATCTTAGGATGTTTTTTTTTCCAATTCTGTGAAAAATGTCATGAGGATTTTGATTGGCATTGCATTGAATCTATAAATGGCTTTTGATAGGATGGTCATTTTCACAATATTAATTCTTCTAATCCATGAGCATGGGAGGTCCTTCCATCTTCTGATGTCTTCCTCAATCTCTTTCTTTAAAGATTTAAAAATTTCATTGTAGAACTCTTTAATGTCTTTGGTGAGGTTTATTTCGAGATATTTTATTATTTTTTTGCAGCCATTGTGATGGGGAGTGTTTCCATGTACTCTTTCTCTGATTGCTTGTTATTGGTATATAGAAAGGCTACAGACTTTTGTAGATTAATTTTGTAACCTGCCATTTTACTGAACATGTTAATAATTTCTAGGAGTTTTCTGTGGAAATTTTGGCGTCTCTAAGATATATCATTCCATCTGCAAAAAGGGATAATTCAATATCTTCTTTTCCAATTATTACTCCTTTCATTTCTTTCTTTTGTCTTATTGCTCTTGCAAGAGTTTCAAGCACTATGTTAAAGAGAAGTAGAGATAGTGGATAGCCTTGTCTGGTTCCTGATTTCAATGGGAATGCTTCCAGTTTTTCTCCATTTAGAATGATGTTGGCGGTGGGTTTGTTATATATGGCTTTAATTATGTTGAGGTATGTTCCCTTCATCCGTAATTATGTTGAGTTATGTTCCCCCCAGTCCAATTCCCTCTAGGACTTTGAATATAAATCCATGTTGAAATTTGTCAAAGGCCTTCTCTGCATTTATTGAGATGATCATGCGGTTCTTGTCTTTGAGCCCATTTATATGATTTATGATGTTTATTGACTTACGTGAAATGGAACCATCCCTGCATCTCTGGAATAAAGCCAACTTGATCACGATGGATGATCTTTTTGATGGGTGTCTGTATGCAGTTTGCAAGTATTCTGTTGAGAATTTTTGCGTCTATGTTCATTAAGGATATGGGTCTATAGTTTTCTTTTTTGGTTGTATCTTTACCTGGCTTTGGTATTAGAGTGATGCTGGCTTCATATGAAGAATTTGGAAGTTCTCCCTCCATTTCTCTTTTTTAATAACAAGTAGTATTGGATGTAGATCCTCTTTAAATGTCTGGTAGAATCTGCTGTAAATCCATCTGGTCCTGGCCTTATTTTAGTCGGGAGGTTTTGTATCACTGTTTCAATTTCTTGGGATTCTTCTACTCCCTGTATGCCTATGATTTGTAAGTTTGGTCTTTTTATGGTGTCACACAATTCCTGCCTATTCCATTCTTGTGATTTCTTAAATTTTTCATAATCTTTGCTTGAGTGGTCCAGTTCGTCCCCTTTATCTTCCAGTCTTCACTGTTGTGATGTTTCCCCTTTCATCTCTGATTTTGTTGATTTGGAGGTGCTCTTTCTTTCTTTTGGTTAACTGGGCTAGCGGTCTATCAATCTTATTTATCTTCTCAAAGACCCAGCTCTTGGATTTGTTGATTCTTTGTATTGTTTTCCTTATTTCTATTTCATTAATTTCTGCTCTGATTTTTGTTATTTCTTCTTGTCTGCTGGGTTTGGGTTTCATTTGTTGTTGCTTTTCAAGTGTCTTGAGTTGCAATGTTAAGTCATTTATTTGTGTTCTTTCCGATTTTTTGATGTAAGCACTTAGAGCTATAAACTTCCCTCTAAGGACTGCTTTCAGTGTGTCCCAGAGGTTTTGTTGTGTTGTATTGTCCTTTTCATTTAGTTCCAGGAATCCTTTTATTCTTTCTTAATTTCTCCTTGACCCATTCATCATTCAGGAGTGTGTTGTTTAATCTCCACATGTTCATGTGGTTACTGGGGTTGATTTTTAAGCTTTATTGCATTGTGGTCTGATAGAATGGGCAGAATTATTTCCATCTTTTTGTATTTGTTGAGGTTTGTTTTGTGCCCCAATACATGGTCAATTTTGGAGAAGGTTCCATGGGGCACTGAATGGAAAGTACATTCTTTGGTTTTTGGGTGGAATATTCGGTAAATGTCTGCTAGGTCCATTTGATATATGGTATTGTTTAATTCAGATGTCTGTCTGTTAATCCTCTGTCCTGTTGACCTATCTAATGGTGATAATGGGGTATTGAAGTCCCCTATTATTAATGAGTTGGGATTAATCTGGGTCTTAAAGTCCTGTAGTGCTGTTTTTATGAAGTTGGGCACACCAGAGTTTTGTGAATATATGGTCATGATTGTAATATCTTTTTGGTTTATTGTTCCTTTGATCAGAATGACGTGGCCCTCTTTGTCTCTTCTGATTAGTTTTAGTTTAAAGTCTATTTTATCAGATATTAGAATTGCAATGCCTGCTTTTTTCTTAGTACCATTTGCTTGGTATGTTTTTTTCCATCCTTTCACCTTAAGGTAGTGCCTGTCCTTGAAAGTGAGATGAGTTTCTTGCAGACAACAAAAAGATGGGTTTTGTTTCTTAATCCATTCAACTATTCTGTATCTTTTGACTGGGGAGTTCAGTCCATTGATAAAGTTATTAATGAAAGATGTGTATTGAATCCTGTCATTTTTATTTCTGCTCACATTATTGATATAGCTGTGCATTTCCACAGTTTTACTTTCATTGAATTCCTTTCCATCACCCCTTGTGTATAGTCGTTCCTTTCTTTGGCTCTTTGTATTGCTTCAAGAACTCACTGAAGGGCTGGTTTTGTGGACATGTATTCTTTCAGCCTATTTATGTCATGGAAGATTTTTCTTTCCCCTTCAACTATGATAGACATTTTGGCTGGGTATAGTAATCTGGGTTGGCACCTGTGGTCAACTGGGAATACTTTGGTCCAGGCTCTTCTGGCTTTCATAGTGTGCACAGGAAAGTCAGCTGTAATCCTGATGGGTTTTCCTTTATATTGATTTGTTGTTTTTCTTTTGCAGCTTTCAGTACTGTCTCTTTGTTCTGAACGTTTAGTGTTTTTACTATGATGTGCCGTGGAGAGTTTCATTTCTGGTCCTGTCTATTTGGTGTTCTATATGCTTCTTGTGTTCGTATGGGCATGTCTTTTTTTAATTTTGGGAAATTTTCTTCTACAATCCTATTGAAGATCTGTTCCATACCATTATTGAGATTCTTCTCCTTTTTGTATACCTATGATTCATAAGTTTGGTTTTTTTATTGTGTCACACAATTCTTGCCTATTCCATTCTTGTGTTTTTAAATTTTTTTCATAATCTTTGCTTGAGTGGTCTAATTTGTCCACTTTAGCTACCAGTCTTGATACTCAGTTTTCCATTTCACATCCTATTAATGAGGCTTTCTAATTGGCTGCCTGTTTCATTTCCTTCTTCATTTCAGCCTGAGTAGTCTTCAATATTTCTCTTTTCTGAATTCATTCAGAAGTTTATCCCTATCATCCTTGTCTTTGATTTATTTGTTTGTGTGTTCTTTAAATTCACTGAATTCTTTTATCATGTTTGTAACTGTTCTTTTGAGTTCCATGTCCTGTGTTATCTCTAGGGAGTTCTCATTGTACTCCTCTAGAAAACTATTGGTACTTGGTGGGGATATATTATTTTGGTTTTTCGTGTTATTGTTTTTACTCTGTGACTTTGACATGTGAATTTCCTTCACAGTTTCTGATTCTTGCATGAGACTCAAGCCTTCCTTTGTTGAGTTTAGATCTGCTTCTTTTTGTAAACTTTATGTGCCTTTGTGGTTTACTTGTTGGGTATGAAAAGCTGGTTGGTCTAGGCTTCAGGTTCTCTCTTTTGATTTTATATTGGAGTGGCCAAATTGCTTTTGTCTTCAGGAGTTCACACAGATGCCCAAGTGAGATGAGGCTCAGATGCTCTCAGGCTTTCTCCTAAGGTCTGGGTCCCTCCAGGAAAGATGCTGCCCTCAAGAATTTAGGGGCTGGATTGGCCTGGGAGAAGGGCCCAGGATAGGTGCTGGTCTCGGGAAGCTGGTGGCTGTGCCACACAGGGAAGTAAAGGGAGGTGAGGGCTGGACCAGGCCCAGAGGATTTCTGGGGACCACAGGGAGGAACTGGGTTGGTCCAGATGCAAAGGATCAGGAAGCAGTGGCGGCTCTGGGCCGAGAGTTTAACCCCGGTGTCTGGGGTGCCAAGACAAGAAATGGGCCTGTACCCAGGCTAGGAGGAGAGACTCGTTGGTGGAGCTTGGAGGGTGAAAGAGGCTGGGGGAGTCAAGGCACAGTGGGCGCGTTGGACTTACCCAGGGAAGGTGCTAGTACCAGGACACCGGAGGCTGTGCAGCCCAGGAAGTAAAGGGAGGTGAGGGCCGGACCAGGCCCAGAGGGTTCCTGGGGGCCACAGGGAGGAACTGGGTTGGTCCGGATGCAAAGGGTCAGAAAGCAGTGGTGGCTCTGGGCCGAGAGGTTAGCCCCAGTGTCTGGGGTGGCAAGACAAGAAATGGGCCTGTACTCAGGCTAGGGGGAGAGATGTGGCAGGGGAGCTGGGAGGGTGAAAGAGGCTGTGGGAGTCAAGGCGCGTGGGCCCACTGGACTTACCCAGGGAATGCGCGGGTACCAGGACACTGGAGGCGGTGCAGCCCAGGAAGCAAAGGAATATGAGGAGTCCTTACTCCCTGTAAGGTCCCAGCCCAGAGGACTCCTGGGGACCAGGAAAGGTGCTGGCACCAGGACCTAAATTCTGACTTTTAAAAAAGACTTTTTCATTTCTTCTTTTTTTGAGGTTTTGTTTTGTTTTTTGTTTGTTTGTTTGTTTGTTTGAAACAAAGTCCCTCTATGTAGCCCACGCTGACCTCCACTTTGCCATACGGCCCAGCCTGCTCTCAACTCTGCCATATAGTCCAGGTTAGCCTTGAATTCATAATCCTCCTGTCTCAGCTTCACAATTCCTGGAATTTTAGGCATACACTTCCATGCTCAGCTTACCTAACTTTTTTTGAATAATAATGTATTCAGACCTATTTTTTACATAAAAAACTTTTTTCAAGGGAAAGTTTTATTACCTAGCCAGACTCTTGAATGCTGGCATTACAGGCATGCATCCTTATCTCTTAACATGCATCTCTCACTTTTTTTTTTTTTTTTTTGGTCTTTTTAAGACAGGGTCTCCCTGTAGCCCCACCTGGTCTGGCCTGGAACTCGCTATGTAGACCACATTGGCCTCGAACTCACAGAGATCCCCCTGTCTCTGCCTTCCAAGTTCTGGGATTAAAGGCCTGTACCACCATGCCCGACCTTGCATCCCTCACTCTTAACAGGAAAATTCTATCTAAAGATAAACTAAGCACTGTCTAAATTTATCATAGTGAATGAGATTAAGTTCTGTAGATTAACTAAAAGAGGCAAAGATTTCCTTTTCCTGGTATAGTTATTGAGCAACCATATACTACAAAGATGATAAAATAGTGAACAATGTTCAATATTAAAATGTCAATGAAATTTAATAAAGGAGAGGAAGTCTAATATCTAGATCTATGCAATTTCTTCATAGCTTCCTCTAGAGAGCTGACCCCACATAGGTACCTGTAAGCATGAAGCAGGTTGTGGTTTTTCCTGCTCCGTTGTGTCCCAGAACAGTGATCTTCCCCTTGTACAGGTTCATGCTCAGATCTTTGACTGCTATGTGTTCTTTGCTTCCCCTGTAAAACACCTGTCAAGGCGTGACTGGCAGTACACATAGAGAGACATTTCCCAAGAGTATGGCAAACCTCACGTCCGTGTCAACTTCTTTTGAAAGTTCATATGGAGGTGTGCTGGAGAGATGACACAGTGGTTAAGAGCACACACTGCTCTCGAAGAGAACCTAAGTTCAATTCCCAGCACCCACATGAGGTGGTTCACAACTACCTGCAACTCCACCTCCAGCTTCAGGGGGATCCAATACCTTTGGTTTCCGTGACACTGTTAAACTACAACAGAAACTTAAATGGGCTGTTTCTTAAGTCCCTGTAAGGAAGTTTGTAAGCCAATACCTTATATAAATGTTGGATTTCAATTGCTTTCATCAGATCAGTTGGCTCTTCCTGCATGAACTCATTTCTTGAAAGTTTGTCAGGATTCCTGATGTCCAGGAGTGGTAGTATCACTGGAGCAGGCTTTTTGAGCCAGGAGAAACACTGCATAGGAAGTTAACCTACACGTTAATCATTTATGTGGGCTGATTCTCTCTTACAGAAGATCTTTTAGCAAATTAGACTCCAGCACCACAAGTAGTTTACTTGTTGAATCAAATATTTAATGGTACCTGGAGAAGTTAATTAGTTCACTCATGGATTCACTACTGGTCAACTGCATTTCAGTCTACAACCTGTCTCTAAGGATCTAAGAAAGCTGCCTCATTTCCAGGTTATTGAGTATACTTGGAAAGCCTCCATCCTTGGAGTCATGTCCTTGGGTGCTAGGTCTGGAGAGATGGTTACAGTTTACCCATTTCTCCACTCTCCAAGAAGGAATCCAAAGACTACTGCGGTCCTTCAGTAGGCCCATGGGCAGGCCACTGTAGGAGGACTGAGTTAAGCATGAAAAGCTCAACTTTGTAGTTAGTCTGAGAACTTCTGGAATTGTCAAGAAAAGCTGTGCCCACAGTTGGCACCCTGGAGGTATTACAGAGGTCTCAAAGAGCCCTTAGGACTACTCTACTAATGTAGCTCAATGGGGAAAGGATGGATGAGAACTCTAGCATGTTGGGGATTGGGTTCTGTAGAAGAAGGCAGAACCCGATATCCAACAGGTACACAAAAGGAATCTGAAGACACTACCAAGGAGAGTGTATGAGACTGTTCTCCCTGCCCCTCCTCAAGCCCACTGCATCAGCTATGGGGTAAGAGTCAGAGAAACTGAGACTCACTGTTGATTATATTCCATTGTCAACCACAATCATGGATACTTATGGGATAAATCTAGGGAAGATACTTACTAGGGTTTGAAATCTTAATCAAGACATAACTGAAAGATAGAGGAATCCTGATAACAAATATAAAAAATTAGAACATCAAGCTGCCTGTGGTGGTGCACACCTTTAATCCCAGCACTCAGGAAGCAGAGGCAGGCAGATCTCTGTGAGATCAAGATCAGCCTAGTCTACATAGTAAGTTCCAGGCCAGCCAGGGCTACAAGGAGACCCTGTCTCAAAAAAAAAAAAAAAAAATCTATAAAACAGAAGTATCAAAACTTACCTTGTTAAGATAGTGCCAAGACTTAGGTATTCCAAACTTCCCTGGGAAGACAGCCTCCACAAAAATGGCTATCAGACCTTATAAGAAGGAGTCTAGCAGGAGCATCATCAGCACCTGGATGAAGCTAAACTCCCCACGGATACTGCCTATGTTCCTCCACTGGATACCTGTGCCTGTCACAAAGGAAGGGAGACCATTGCTACATCAAAGGCAGGGAACCAACCAGAACCTTCCCATCAAACAGCCAGGGTACAGGTCAGTGATATGACAGGACTACTTGTGTATGGAACATTATTAGGACCATCAGATACAGAAAAGGGGAAAGCTAAAGATGTTGCATCCATAAGATAAAGCACTTTTATTATTGCTAAAGGGAATAGGTAGTACTTTTGCCAACACTCAAAAGAAATTTGACCATCTGAGACACATCTCCATACTGCTACACATACATACTGATAATTCTTCAAAGAGCAGTACAAACAAATAATTCCTTACTCAACAAGCATGTGTACCTACTCTCCTTATCTGGGTAAGATGCCTATGCTGTGTGTGTCCAAAACTCTCTCTACTAACTATAGAAGGCCCTGTACTCCACTGTGAATCTGTTCATTTATCACTGTCCCACGTGTGTATAGTCTCTGGGGCCATGGACTATTTTTGTTCTCACTAGCTCCAACATCTGACCAGGGTTTGTTATGCAGTGGGCAATAAATATATACTTTTTATAAAGGAAGAACTTGGGCTCCATTCCTGGATAACTATGTGTCCAGTGTGAGTCAAATGTCTAATCTGCAGGGCTGGAGAGATGGCACAGCAGTTAAGAACACTGTTCTTGCAGAAGACCTGGGTTCGAATCCCAGAACACACATGGTAGCTAACAACTGTCTGTAACTCCAGTTCCAGGAGATCCGACTGCCTCTTCTCTCCTCCGCAGGCATTTCACCACACGGTGCACTTACCTACATGCAGGCAATACATACATGCACACACATAAAATAAAATAAATGCTTTTTCTTTAGTATTGTATCATTTAACACTGAGGTTGCTAATTTCAAAACAGATCATCCAAAGCCTAAGACACCTGGAACAAAATAAATAAAAAATAGTAAAAAAAAAAAAAACTATGTCAAAAAACGTCAAATCTGCATATAAGTTAAAGCCTTTCATTTGAAGCATCCACAATGCTGCATGTCTAGTGGCTCCCTGGCAGGATCAAGGGGGTGGAAGTTAGTAATACCACAGGAGAGACTCCAGTACTAGAAGCAGACAATCAGGCTACCTCAGTGCTCCTCAAACTTTAAACTCATCCACCTGGAGTTTTGTAAAAATGCACATTCTGATGAAGCATATTTGGATCTGAGATTTTGCATTTCTAACAAGATCACAGGAGGACGACTCCTGTTCCAGAGGTTACACTGTGAAGGGTGAAAAACAGGTCGTGACCTCTAAGACCCTTCTAATGAGAAGAGTCTCATTTGTGTCTGTGCACCCTCCAGGAGCTTTGCCTTTCCCTGTCTTTTGCCTGCTGGGTTACAAACAGATCTTGTGTAGCTTAGGACTCATTCCAAAGAGGTAGCAACATTAAGCATGCTCACGAAAGCTAGGGGCCTCTTAATTCATGTAGTCTGTAGTATTCAAATGGAAGAAAATCACAGAGTTCCTTTACTAACTTTGTAGAAATTTGTCAGTTAACTTTATTTTTAATCATAAATATACATAGAAAACGCATACAGTTTAACAATTACAAGAAAAATACCTGTTAAAAATATTCAAACTGGGCATGGTAGTGTACAGCTTTAACTCCAACACTCAGGAGGTAGAAGGAGATGGATCTTTGAGAGTTCAAGGCCAGCCTGATCTACATAGTGAGTTCCAGGCCAGTCCCACTATAGGGAGACCCTTTCTCAAAAAGACCAAAATAAAAAAAAAGTATTCATGTAAATCACCCGGAATTTCCCAAGGTGCAAATCCCATTCCCAGTTCCATCCTTTTATTAATATTTGAAGTTTTTAATAGAGACAGGGTCTCGTGTATCCCAGGCTGGCCTCAAACTCCCTATGTAGATGAGGATGACCTTAAATTTCTGGTTCTTCTGTCTCTACTTCCCAAGCGCTAGGATTACATCTGTGTGCCATTATGTCTAGTTTCTGTGTGGTGCTGAGGATAGAACTCTGGGCTATGAACATGTTAGGCAAGCATACCAACTGGGCTACAGCTCAAGCCATCCTTAAAAATGTTTATATGCAGTACATAGTTGAATTTTTCCTTTTAATGCAATCTGACAGTTTATTTTTAGTTGTTTTTATGTATTTATTTATTTATGTATTTTATTTATTTATTTATTTATTTTTTGGTCTTTTTGAGACAGGGTCTCCCTGTAGCCCCAGACCAGGCTGGCCTCGAACTCACAGAGATCCGCCTATCTCTGCCTCCTGAGTGCTGGGATTAAAGGCGTGTGCCATCATGTCCGGCTTTATTATTATTTTTTAATGTGTATGAGTGTATTGCCTGCATGTATGTGAGTGCACCCATGTCGTGCAATGCCGAGGAGGCCAGAAGAGGGCTTCGGATTCCCCTGGAACTGGAGTTAAGGATGATTCGTACGTAGCCCACGTGGGTGTTGGGAATCAAACCCCGATCCTCTGCAAAAGCAGTCAGTGCTCTTAACCACTGAGCATCTATCTCTCCAGGCCCTATTTCCCTATTTTATTTTTTCTTTCTTTCTTTTCTTTCTTTCTTTCTTTCTTTCTTTCTTTCTTTCTTTCTTTCTTTCTTTCTTTCTTTCTTTTTTTGGTCTTTTTTGAGACAGGGTCTCCCTGTAGCCCCAGCTGGCCTGGATTCACTATGTAGACCAGGCTAGCCTTGAACTCACAGAGATCTGCCTGCCTCTGCCTCCCGAGTGCTGGGATTAAAGTCATGGGCCACCGTGCCCGGCTATTTTATTTTATGTATGTATTGCCTGCATGTAGGTAAGTGCACCTGTGTCATGCAATGCCCAGGGAGGACAGAAGAGGCTGTTGGATCCCCTGGAACTGGAATTATGAATAGTTGTTAGCTGTCATGTGGGTGCTGGGATTTGAACCCGGGTCTTCTGAAGAACAGCCAGTGTTCTTAACTGCCGAGCCATCTCTCCAGCTCTTATTTTTAGTTGTTATATTTAGATCACAATATACTAATTGTCTTGATTAAAACTCATTCTGTGTCAGCTCTTTTCTATTTTTCTTAGATCTTCCTTTTTCTTTTTTTGCCTTTTGTTGAAATTAAATAGAGATTGTAGTCAGACACAGGCCTGGCAGGCCAAAAGTGGCTGTCTGCACATTGGAAAGGCTAAGAATCCAGGAGTCCAGTAGCTGCTCAGTACACAAGGCTGGATGCCGCAGCAGTTCCAGCCTTTTTAACGTATATTATTTTTATTATTTTCATTTTTTTTATGTGTATGAGTGTATTGGCTGAATATATGTAAAGTGCACTTGGGTCCTGCAGTGGCCTCGGAGGTCAGAAGAGGGAGTTAGATTCCCCTGGAACTGGAGTTATAGACGGTGGTTAGCCACCATGTGGGTGCTGGGATTTGAACCTGGGTCCTCTACAAGATCAGTCAGTGCTCTTAACCGCTGAGACATCTCTCCGGCCCCAGCAGTTCTGGTCTTATACCAAAGGCCTAGAAGACTTCTAGAGAGCTGCTGGTCCTCATTCCACATTGGAAAGCTGAAGAAGCTGAGTTCCGATGTCAGGGAAGGATGGAAGGGTTGCAACAGAGTAAATGCACTTACCAGCAGGAAGTGAAGATGGGTAGGCAAAGCAGACCTGATTTTCCCTCCATTGTCTTTATATCTGAACCACAGCTGGAAGACGCCCCCACTCTGGGGGAGGGTCTTCCTCCTGCAGTTAATCCTTCCAGAAAATACTTTCACAAACGCACCCAGAGGCATGTCTCTTAGTTGATCCTGGATCCAGTGAAATTCACCACCAATGTTAATCACCCCAGAGATTTTTTCTTTTTTTGGTCTTTTTGAGACAGAGTCTCCTGTAGCCCCAGCTGTCCTGGAACTCATTATGTAGACCAGGCTGGCCTTCACAGAGATCCGCCTGCCTCTGCCTCTGGAGTGCTGGGATTCAAGGCATGTGCCACCACACCCAGCTACCCTAGAGATTTTTTTAATATTTTGTTTTTATTTTATGTGTACAAGTGTATTACCTGCATGTACAAGTGAGTGCACCTGTGTCGTGCAATGCCGGGGAGATCAGAAGAGGGCGTCGGATTCCCCTGGAACTGGTGTTAAGGACTGTTTGTAGCTGACATGTGGGTGCTGGGAATCAAACCGGGTCCTCTGCAAGAGGAGTCTGTGCTCTTAACCACTGAGCCATTTCTCCAGCTCCTGTACCCCAGAGATTTTTTTTTTTTTTGGTCTTTTTGAAACAGAGTCTCCCTGACCCCAGAGAGTTTTTTAAAAATATTTTTTAACTTTAAAAAAATTGTATTTATTATTTTTATTTTATGCGTATGCATGTATTGCCTGCATGTAGGTAAGTGCACCCGTGCCGTGCAGTGCCCGCAGAGGTCAGAAGACGCTGTTGGATCCCCTGGAACTGGAGTTAGGGACAGTTGATAGTTGCCATGTGAGTGCTTAGATTTGAATCTGGGTCTTCTGCAAGAACAACCAGTGTTCTTAACCACTGAGCCATCTCTCCAGCCCCAGATATTTAAAAAAAATATTTTTAAGGGGCTGGAGAGATGACTCAGTGGTTAAGAGCACTGACTGCTCTTGCAGAGGATGAGGGTTCGATTCCCAGCACCCACATGGTGGCTACAATTGGTCTTTAACTCCAGTTCCAGGGGGATCCGAAGCCCTCTTCTGATCTCCACAGCATTGCATGACACGGGTGTGTTCACATACATGCAGGCAATACACTCATACACATAAAAAATTAAAATAATAGACAAAATAATTTTTAAATTTTTAAAAAATATATTTATTATAGTAGTAATAGCAGTAATATCAGCAGGGATTGAACCTGTGACCTTGCATATGATAGGCAAGCACTTAATCAGTGAACTGTATTCTCAGCCCTTTACTTATTATTATTATTTTGAGACAGAGTCTCCCTGTAATCCCAGTTGGCCTGAAACTTGTTATATCTATATCTCTCAGAGATCCACCTGCTTCTGCTTCCT